GTAGAATTCGGAAATAAAATTTGTGAGGAAATATTGTACACAAGTGTCTTCTGTAATTTTAGATTCTTGTGATACTTGTCTCCCATGCTAGCCTAGCGCATACTTTATGATTACTGTAGTGATCATTAGTTAAGAACCACTTGTTTATAACTCTTGTTGAGTTATCTAATCCTAACAAAATTTCAATTTCGTAAATGAAATTTATGAATTCGGTAACGCAAGTTTACATTAACCGAATAACACACAAATTTCGAGTCGTAATCTTCGGCATTAGTTCGCCTACCACTCCTCACCCACCTTGCAAACATGAGGTACAAGTCAATCATACAAGCCAAGCGTCGGTCCTCACTAGAGCCCTTCTCTGGCCACAGCGATGATGCTGCCGTCTGGGGGGAGGATAACTCCTTATTAACAAGGAACGAAAATAATTACTACCCCTGCAGAAGTCGCATCGATATGGTCGATGTCTCGGGAGGTGTGGATGTCTGTGAGAAGCTTGGTATTATTCTTCACGAACTAAGGTGGATTCTGTCCGAGGGATACTTCGAAGTGTACTCTAGTGTTACCAGTGTGGGAGAAATATGCACATGGTCAACTACATGTGCTGGTGACAGATGAAAATTTGGAGGGAATTTTGAGGAATTCTCGTCGGTTTCTGCACCCATCTACTTGAATTCGTGTGAAAACTATCATGACATAGTGAAAAAGCTTCTGAGCTCAGCTGAGGACAGCGAACATGTATTTCAACACTAAGTACTACTACCACCTCAATCGCAACTCTCGAGCTGTGCTGAATACACCATATACTTTAACGATGAGAAGAAGCCGACTCTCTCTACTTGATGCCCCCCTCTTTACCGAGAATAGTACATTGGAGTTTCACCCTAGTGATATGAAAATTATATTTCACGACTACTGCATAGCGCCGCGAATATCGCGTTTTTCACAGAAACTCCAATACACTAAGAACCATTTATAATATTTCACATTATCATTCATATACTATCTTCATTTCAAGATGAGAGCATTCATTTACACAGTTTCGGAAGATCCTACTTCTACTGCTTCCCCACGAGTTGGACACTCCATCAGCCGATCAGCTTCCTCGACAGTGATGTACCTCTCAGTGAGGAAGGGGTCTCGGTGACGATCCACTCCAGCCTGATAAGAACTCTCGATATCGAGCTTGTGTGTGGAGGCCACGACGACCCACGCAGTCATCTCTATTAGAAGCGATCATTCGTGTGAGCTCCTCGTTGAGATCTTCCTCGCCAACCGCGATGACATGTGTCATGAGTTTCCAATACAGCTACACTCACTCAATCAACCTTCACTGACTACTTGTCAAACAACACATACCGTATATACATACAACTTCTTTTTCCCACATATTTCCATTTATCCAAAACTCGGAATAATTCGCGCCATTTAAACCATCGGCGATGTCAACAGAAATTCTACGACTACGAAAGTAATTTCAAATTTC